TCTTTCCTCGAGGGACACACCATTCGGATGAAAAGCGTAATCCGGTCGAGCTATGTTCATCGGAACAAGACGTCTCGAGCTCTAAAAACAATAAATAAGTAAACAGTGCATATAAACATATGCGATAACAAACATAAGCGCAATGTCATAAACGCAAAACTATAACATATTCCAAGTTGGAAATCTTGTTTGGGCTTGAATAGGCCTATGTTCAACCAAACTCAACGACGCGGTCTTGTATCCTATACATTGCAGGCGCTTAAATACCACAGAGTCTTGGCCTGCCTAAATGGTACCCCTAGTGGACTATGAGCAAAGGGGCAGTACAATATTACGGTACAACCCGATGTAAGACTTCTATCTGTCTAATGCTACAGCGGTGTCAGCGGAGTAAGTAAGAAAAAAGATCATTTTTTATATGGTAATTTTTCGCCATTTAAAGCGAGTATCATTATTTGTAATAACAACTTAGTTAAATTCCTTAATTACTTAAACCGAAGGCTGGATATTCGTATGTCATGTTCCGGAAATGGACAGATTATTAGACACTGTATGACGTCTAAATATCCACCTAAATTTAGGGAGCTACAATTCAAACTGCTAAAATCTAAAACATGGTAAATTCTACCACGCCTCAAAGAAAAATGTAAATCTGTATTTTCTTTCATGCTCAAAAATTCCCATGTATCCCAACTGCATTCCTGACTCATGAACTACGTTTCAATAAAATTTGAAGTTGTAAACGCTCCACTCTCCCAATCATAAAAGAATTTGTGCAAACAAAAGAAGAACAGAATGGACAAATGTTGTAATTTTCGCTACTTGCCCGAAGATCGCAATGAGTAATTTCGTTCACATTCAGAACAATCCAACGATCAGGGAACAGATGACACGATTATGAATACGTTCCGTTTTCATACCTACTACGATCCTTATGGTGCGAATGATATTTATATTTTTCCATTGTTCAATTTATTCCTCTGACATCGTCTTCCTCTTGCTAATCGTATCTGCCTAATGTAAGGCCCCATATGACCACATTTTTAATGCAACTCCGGTTCTTTCGATCGGGTAGACAAAAATGTTAATTTCTGAAGAGTGTTTTCCGTTTCCCTCAAGGGACTGCAAAAGTTTTCACATTTTAAAGCACACTTAAACTAGAAACACGAACGGAAGGACAAGAAACTACAATCATGGTAAACTATCGAACGAAAACATGTCTATATTACCTCATCTGTCATCTGTCCCCTAGGATAAAATTTACAATTTTGAACAAGACCGAAAGAAGATCCGAAAAGCCGTTGAATATACATGTCAATAAATCAGGAGAAACTGAATTATTGTTTTTAACATCCGTCACCGGAGGACAACATCCACCAATGAATGATGAGAGCATGCTAGTACTCTTGTTGAGCGAATCCAGAAGAAAAAAGAAGTCTGCATCGCATCTTTTGAACAGAATGACAACCCCGTCTAATGATGCTATTCTGATGTACACTGCAATCTTTGACATTTGTCAGTACGATTCATTGGTCCTCAGAACTTCGCAACATAAAAAGGAGATCTTTAACATCACAATTTAAACATGTGAATGAATTTCAGTTGTGCAATCTCCAAGGTTAAAGATTTGTATTCATATTATACTTAGCAGGTCCTGGAAGCGAATTTCTTGAATGTTGCGATAATAGTACAATTTTGTCAGTTTTATGAAAAGTCATTCGAAATGAAAGATGAATTTGCCTTAGAAATGATAATTTTGATATGAGTAATTACTCTGTAAATGTTAAATCAGACGAGAAAAACTTCTCAAAAAACGGCATACCTGAGGATAAGGTCTCAGAGGGCCAGTATACGCAAAATTGGGGTAGATATCTGGCGGATACTGAGTAGCTTCTTTCTCTGAAAGCAACCGACGGCTAAGAACTAATTACAAAACTATAAACCGATAAAAGTACCGGAAACTTTGTGCACTTTCTTGTGTTCTTTCCAATTGTTTTTGAAGCACTCCTAAAATATAAAAATAATTTACAATATACCCTGTGAAGCGATGGCGGAAGATCATTGACC